AACACAAAAATTAGCCGGATGTGACACCATGTGCTTGTAGTCCCAGCTATTCAGGAGACTGAGGCGGGAGGATCATTTGAGCCCAGTAACTGGAGGCTGTAGTGAGCTATGATCACACCATTGCACTCCAGCCTAGGCGACAGAGTGAGACCCTGTCTCTGAAAAAAAAAAAAAATTAATTTAAAATAGCTTTGCCATTGATAGCATTAAACATTTAATGGCCAGGAAGCCTTAATACCTACTTTTTCATTACTGATGTAAGATGAAATACATTTGCATAGCAAAGAGTATCTGTTATTTTTCCAGATGCCTGACTAAAGACAAGAGAGAGAAATCCTATATCCTGAGACCTCCCTGAGTTTCCTTTAAGTCTGGATCCAGGCTACGTGGGGCCTGATACAATCCTGGGAGCCTTCCTTAAAGAAAAAGAATGCAGAATTAGGAACATCAACTTAGGTATAAAAATGTTTATTCATTTAGAATGAGAAAAGAGATCACAACACATTAGGAAATTGTTAAAAGCCAGGAGATGCCGAAAACTTACAAAATCTAGAATGTAATGCTTTTGTGTTAATCCTTTTCCTACCTTTTTCACACTTTTCAATTATCCCTTCATACAATAATCCTGTGATATCTCCTATCAAGAGACGAGAAAGATAATTCAGCATTTTCTTCAACATAGTTGACCAAATTTGCTTTTTTTATTTTTCATAGTTCAGAAACATTTGTTTTGGCTTTACAACTCATTATTTATAGTGAGATGCCCATCTTTAGGACTGTGGTCAAATATGGAAAAAACTTCTAAGTGTTTTCTCTGTATGAGCTAAGATTCAAGGGCATTTCTGGCTTTCTCATGAGGCAGCTAATCTTAAAAATACACTTTGAAAGGACAGCAGCCACTGATAACTTGGTGTTGATGTCCTTGTTTCTTTATACTGGGTGACTTGGCCTATAGGACACCAGGAGTACCCCTAAAAGCCACCATTTAACTAGATCATGAAGTGACTGAATGACACAGATACGTACCCACTGAACCCAACATTCCCAATTCAACTTCCCCTTAGGGATTCCCTAAAGAGTCCCATAGCTAGTACAAAGCCATATAATACAAGGGGATGATGGCAGAGGGGAAGCTGGCATGAAAAAACACAGCAGTCTTAACTGATTGCAGTGAAAGGATTTTTCTAGTTGGCCATGGTGGTGCTCACTTGTGGTCCCAGCTATTCATGAAGCTGAGGCAGGAGGATCACTTGAGTCAGGAGTTGGAGGGTGCGGTGAGCTATGATCATACCAATGCACTCTAGCCTGGGCACCAGAGTGAGACCCTGTCTCAAAAAAAAAAAAAAAAAAACATGAAAGACAGAGAAAGATCTTTTCAGGTCCTTGAATGGGGATTATGTAAAGGAGGAACCCTGAAATTTATAATCTAAGCTTTCTTAGTTTTGTGATAAATCTGTCTCTGGTTTTACCATCATCATCATCATCATCATTACTCCTGTAACATGGGGCCCTTCTGGGAATTCCAACAAGATAATGCACACAGATGTGAAACATAACAGGCTGTCAATTGTATTTATCATCATCATCACTGTACTTGGCTCTCAATTCTTTACAGGTAAGGGCATGCAGTAACCAATTTTCAGGACACAGCAATCTAGACAGAGCAGAGGATATTCAATGGGTTCATATTTGCTGCCATTTTTTCAGTCTGGACCAAAGTAAGAGCAATTGATTATTCAAGTTATTTTAAAATTGATTTTATCATCTTATTGAAACTCTAGGAGTATCAGAGTTTAAAAAAAAAAAGAAGGAAAGAAAGAATGACAAAGAACCTCAAATCTCTGTTCGTTCAGGATGGTTTAGTTTGGAAAGATGTTGGTAAAGTGATCTAACTGTATCAAATTATTCTATAGAGAAAAGCTTTTCAGGGAGACACACAGGCTGGAGCTTTCCTCTCCAGAACCAGCTAAAAATAGTTCTCTTCTTTATCTCATGAGAATCTGACCCATCTCAGCCCATTCAATTGGTACCAAGAAGTGGTACCAATGCAGGAAAGCCATGCTTCTATCTTCCCATGGAAAATGACAGTTGGTGGAAGGGGTGGGGCAGAGAGTAGGTTCCTGCAGGAGGTGGCACACAGGCTCCCAGGAAGGTAGGCACCCTGCCAACCACCTCCTTCAGCAAGCAGAGCTGCTCTGCCCCCACCTGGACCCCACCAAGCGCAGCCACAAAGGCAATTCCTGCCTTGGTGTAGATGGAGTACTGTGCCATGAGCCCTGTGCATGGAGGTGATGGCAAGTCTCCTGAGTCCCCAAGTCAACAAATCCACCCATCTCCCCAGGCCTGAAACTACTCCTGTAGTCAGTCCCTCGAGTTAAGGATGGAAAGTTCCTCAAACCATCAAGATACCAATGTGTAAAGCCCTCCTCCAGCCAGGCACTAGCACTGGAGCTGAGAGTGAACTCTCCAGATGGCCCAGCTGGACAGCATGGCTATGAAAGGAAGGGCTGCTCCAGCACCATGTTCGGGGCTCCCCACAGCAATCTGCAGGTCTAGGATGCCACTGTGATTCTCCGGACCTCTCCTTCCTGGAGCTGCCACAGGCACCACCAACCTCACACACTTTCCTTCCACTCCATTGTCCAAATCCCACCTCTCTGCCCATCTACAGCTCCCATGGAGCCTTTCCAGGCCCCACCTGTTATGGTCACTCTTTCCTCTGACCTTTCATAGCTTTTCATTTATTTTAATAAGTGAATGACTTTTTACATGAACTCAGTTAGGCATGTCTTTATTTCCACTCTACTGGTTGCTGTGTTTCTACCACACTTATAAATGCTTGCTGAATAAATAAAGAGATGACAGTCTGGAATCAGAGAAGGTGGTCCAGGCATAGATTTGTGATGAGTGTGCCTGAGGAGGCCCAGGAAGGTTGCTGGGGAGCTTGGAGGGTGCCTCGGGATGCTGTGTGTTCTGGGGGCAGCAAAGGCCTTACCAGGGAGAAGGAGGGGTTTCATAAGCAAATCCTGACATCTGATAATGCCTGGGGGTCCCTGATGGGCAGTCAGGACCTTTTTGGTTGCAAGAGACAAGAGCTAGTTCAAATCAGCTTCAGCAAGAAGGGTATTCTTGGCTTTCTTGAATGGGAAGCATACTGAAATGGCTCACAGAATAGCAGGAAGAATTCCAGGAACCAAACCCAGGATAGGAAGTGAAACCCACTAAGGACCTTCCTCTCGTCTCTTCCCTCTCCTTTTTTCCTTCTTCTCTGTCCCCTGCCCCATCCATTCTCCCTTCTCCCTTCTCCCTTCATTTCTCTCCCTCTCTTCCTTCTCCTTCTCTCTTTCCATCTCATTTTCATCTCTATTTTAATAGCACTCTCTTTTACATCAGAAAAGTTCTCTCCACATGCCAGAGAAAATAGCTCCTAGCAACTCCAGATATAAACCCTTAATGATTTAAAACTAAGAAAAATTAGCTTTCCACCTCCAATCAGAAGATTCCATGGGAGGCCCCAAACTGGCCTGGATTCTGTGCATCTACCCCTTGGACGAGTCACTGTGTCCAGGGATGTGACACCATTCTTGGCCCAACTGTATGAAGAAGGAGGCCAGGCACCATGATGACAGCCCCACTATGGCCACACACACGGAGGCGTAAAACGAGAATGTCAGAGGCTCGCTACACTAGCAGACAAGGGCTCTGGGACAGGGCTCTTGGAAGGGATGATAGGGTGGACTTAGAAATAACTTCAGGCAGGGATGCTGGTATCAAGACCAGGGATGTTTTCCAGGCAGCAAAAGAGAGGCCCTCCGAAACTCTGGGTCTTGTCTCTTAGGGACACCCTGTTTAAAAAGATCTCAACCCAGCAGCTTTTTTGAACCCTACCTCTAGCCTGAGTGTTGAACCTCAAATAGCAACTCCAATTGTTTGGCGGGGGGTGCATTGTTTGTTTGTTGTTTTGTTTTGTTTTTCATTTGTATTGTTGTTTTCTGTTTTTTGAGACAGGTTTTCACTCTGTCACCCAGGCTGGAATGCAGTGGCACAAACATGGCTCACCGTAGCCTTGACCTCCTGGGATCAAGCAATCCTCCTGCCTCAGCCTCCCACATAGCTGGGACCACAGGCATACACCACAACGCCTGGTTAATTCTTTAAAAATGTTTTGTACAGATGGAGTCTCACTTTGTTGTTGCCCAGGCTGGTCTCAAACTCCTGGGCTCAAGCAATTCTCCCACCTTGGCCTCCCAAAATGCTGGGATTACAGATGTGAGCCACCATGCCCAGCCTGTAACTCTGCTTCTTGTGACAATCAGCCTTGTGTCAATGGGTCTCTGAACCTTGCTGTGACGCATGGGAACCTCCAACTTTTCTCACCTAGCAAAACTCACTGGATTAGGAATTAAGCACCCAACTTTGAGCCTTGGCTCCCTTTCTTATTTATAAACTGAATGTGTGGATAATATCTGTATGGCCTTCTCTTAGAAGTTGTGAAAATCACACAATGGAATGTGTGAAAGGGCACAATGCAAACTGTAAAGTACCACACAAATTTAAGAAATTGCTATGTAAAAGTTGTTTACCTCACCTCACACTTGAGGCTCCATATCACTCTCACTAAACGTTCTTGAGGGCCGGTGCGGTGGTTCACATCTCTAATCCCAGCGCTTTGGGAGGCGAAGGCCGGTAGATCACGAGATCAGGAGTTCAAGACCAGCCTGGCCAAGATGGTGAAACCCTGTCTCTACTAAAAATACAATAGCCAGGCACGGTGACAGGCACCTGTAATCCCAGCTACTTGGGAGGCTGAAGCAGGAGAATCGCTTGAACCTGGTGGCAGAGGCTGCAGTGAGCCGAGATTGCGCCATGGCACTCCAGCCTGGGCACGGAGTGAGACTCTCTCTCAACAACAACAAAAACTTTGTTTGATTTGCCTCTTGTGCCTGAATAAAAATAAAATTAAGCCCTTCCACCACGGCCACCACTGGAGAGTAGCAGCCATGGTTCTTTGCTACACTATGGCCATGGGCCTCAACAAGGGCCACAAGGTAACCAAGAACGTGAGCAAGTGCAAGCACAGCCACAGGCGCTGACCAAACACACCATGTTCGTGTAGGACATGATCTGGAAGGTGTGTGGCTTCGCCCCGTACGAGCGGCATGCCATGGAGTTACTGAAAGTCTCCAAGGACAAACAGGCCCTCAAATTCATTAAGAAAAGGGTGGGGACACACATCCATTACAAGAGGAAGAGGGAGGAACTGAGCAATGTCCTGGCTGCCATGAGAAAAGCTGCTGCAAGAAAGACTGAGCTCCCCCGTTCCTGCCCTCCCCCTGAAATAAACAGCTAGACCACCCCAAAAATAAATAAAATAAAATAATGCTTTCTAATTATTTTTAAATTAATTATGGTCCTTTATAAAAGTGACACACTCAGAGGCACTTAGCTCGACAAATACGTGATTAAAACAGTAGTCTTCTGGTCACCTTTAGAAATCCTAGATATTTAGCCAGGTGTGCTGTTGCACACCCATAGTCCCAGCTACTCTGGGAAGCTGAGGCAGGAGGATGGCTTGAGCCTGGACTTTGGAAGCTGCAGTGAGGTTGTATGATAGTGCCACTGCACACAGCCTGGCAACAAACAAGATCCTGTGTGAAAAACAAACAGAAAACCAAAAAACAGATACATTCATCTTGTATCACACTGATGCATCTTAAAATAGCATTCATGCTCATCACTACTTCAAAATTATAGTCGTTCTGCCCCTGTTGTTATTTAATGTGCTCATTAAAAAGCACATATATTACTATACCCCTATTTTGTTTTCTGATATTTTGACAACTATATTTCAATGTGATTGGTTTCCTTTGTACTCCTATGCATTTTATGTACTTTAAAATATTATTCTGTCCCCATTCCTCTCTTCCTCCTCCCCCCCAATTTTCTACAAACCTTAAACTGCTCTAAAAATAAAGTCTATTAATAAAATAATTTTTTGAAACAACATTATTCTGAGAAGGAATCCACAGACCTCATCTGATTGTGGGTCTACAGCATAAAAAATACTTTGAATCCTTGTTTTAGTTGAATGGCAGGTGCTGAACCTCCTGGTTTGATCCTCTTATTGTGAAATCATATTCTGCATTTTGGTACTTTTGTTCTGCTTTCTGCATAATTTCCCGAGTTTGATCTTCCAACCCCATCCATGGCTATTTTATTGCTGCTGCATTCCCTTTGATAACATCCTGGTCTTATTCCACAGCTGTTCTGTCTTCTCATCTCACTTAGGCCATCAAGTCTGGGGTGTGATTTACTTCTGCTGATTTTAGACTATCTGTTTGCTTGTGGAAAAGGCACTACAAAGTGATTCGGTGTTCTGTATCTAAGTGGGGGGCTTGCTGGCTGGTGGCTTCCCTGTGGGGTGATTGATCCAGCACTAGGCATTTCATTGTGGGACCTCCACATGGCAGAATCTGTGGATCTTTCCTCTTGGGGAAGTCCATGCCTTCAGGGAGAAATCTCCTAATTCCCTTCTTGGAAGGAGTGGGGATGTACTAGTCAGCATCCTGGGAATCACACAGCAGGAGAGGTTTTGGACCTTATCCCTTGTTTTTCATTCAGCTAAGTGCTGTTCACAACTGTTCCTGGCTATTCCCTCAATCTGAATTCTCTCTTGTTCAATTATCCAGGGATTAAATCTCCTGTTTCCTGCCGGAGCAAGGGAAAAACAGCTGGTGGTTGTTTGGACTGGGGAAAGGTATCCCCTGAGATAGATCTTTGACCCATCCTCCAGGGTTCCACCCTACCCACTCCCAGCTTTGAGCATTGGTTGGTGCCTTCAATTCCTTAGCCCCTCCAAGGTTCTTGGATGCGAGCTGGCTTGCTGCTTCTCAGCTTTCCCCTCTGCCAAGACAGCACTCACCCTTCCGCTTTTCATGTTCCAGAGTTCTGCTGATCTTTCTTGTCTGATATCTTTTTCTGTCCATTTTTCTTTGTTACTTAAGTTTATACCTTTTCTTTGCCATCATGTTTGTGGGGTTTGGGGAAGAGCTGAGACTACAGGGCATACTCAGCCTGTCATGTTTAGTGCATGTCTTTTAGCTTTCAGTTTCTCACTTTGGTCCAAAGAAAAATAAAAGGTGCCATCAGTCTTTTATTGATACTTGTGGGGACTTTAATATCCAACTTGATGTCGGTGCAACCTGATTTGACAGCAAGACAGCAGTGCTCTTGAATCTTGGTTGCCAGCCAGGGGATCCAAACTGTCAGCACCCATCCCTAACAATAATTTAACTGAAACTACAGGAACTGAATTACAATATGATAAAACAAGGAGAAGTATCCAATATCCAACATGGTCATCTTCAGATGGAATTGGGAATGTTCACTCCTCCAGGCAGATGTCCAGGCTAAGGAAACAGAGGTATGAATCCCCTTTCCTGCCCCAGCCTTATAACACATCTGACATTCCACTTAGTATCTTCCTCATGATTATTCCCAAAAGTACTGCCCTATACTTCAATACGGCAGAAAGATTTCCTGCTTTCTTTTTATGCATAGGTTCTGTGGTTGTTATTTTGTTGACAATGTATCCTCTTGGGGTGTTTGTGTGTCTCTGAGTGGCTATCTAAACTGTCTGTATTCAAGCACAAACTCCTGCAGTGTGGCCCGGCAGAGCATGCCTTCTACAGCACTAGTGGAAAACAGAAGTGGGCGGAAATGGTGTTTTGATGAGGAGATCCAATTAAGTTAAGAAAGACGGAAAACTGACAGACTTCTTTGTTTAAAAAAATGTACATATATGAGCATCCAAAGTAATGAGTCTCAGGTAGATGTATGTTTCCTGAAAGTCAGAGAAAAACTTGTGTTTCTGTAGCACTTTTCTCCCCAGGGCATCAAAGCTCTTTTTTTTTTTTTTTCTTAATTTCACAATTTCACAAAAGAAGACAAAGTCATAAGATATGAATACTTTGGCCCTGTGCAGCAAGCCCATGGCAGCTGAGCTGTTATTTAAAGACACGAAAACACAGATCCCTGGATAAACTGCAGCTGAGTACACTTCAAACACTGGGTCTAGGAGTGGGGGAGGATTTCTTCCAAAGTCCCATGGCAAGCAGGCCCCACCAGTGGGTTGCTGAGTAGCTTCAAATGACTGGCCCCAACAATCCTTCAGTTTGTTGGGGCCAGTCATTTGACTGGCTCCTACAATCCTGCTCAGTCCCCACCCAGTGTTGGGGTTTAAGAGATAAAAGTAAGTAAGGTGAATGAAGTAAGGTGAGAGAGACTGAGCCTAGACACAGTTCCTGTGAAGAGAGAAGAAAACAGTATCTCTAATTTTCCAGGGCTCTCATTGGATAGGATCTCTATAAATAGGCATTATTATATTTTCTGGGATCTGATGAAAAATCAGATGTGAGGTTTGGGTTCAAGAGCACTTTTATAAATAATAGCCCAAGGTCCAAGATTGAAAAATGAAAATGTCCTGGCTATAGCTCCCTACTCTTCTGATGAGAAAGTCCAGCACTAATCTAATCCCCAGATTTTTAGCTTGATCCTGGAGGTCTTTTCTAGTCTGAGCTTCTTTAGCTAGGCTCAAACACCGGGGCGTATTCTGGCCTCTACTTTGATTCTAATAATGCTCACTCTGTCCTACCTATTATCCTTCCACTTGTCCAGTTCAAATAAGAAATAAGGACAATCCTAACTTCATAGGAACCTCTCTATCTTTAATTAGTTGTTTAATAATTTACAGGTCCTTAAGCTCCGTCCTATTGTATTAAATTTGGCCTTTAAGCCTGCATTTTTAACAAAGTCTTCAGCTAATTCTAGATACACTAAAAATCCAAGAAACTCTGCATGTAACTATTACATTATAGTTTGTCATATACTGCTTGTCATCTGCATGTCTACTGAGCATTTAATATTTATGTAATATGAAATAAAGTTATACAGTAAGTCATTTAACCAAAAAACAAAAAGAGAAAGTCCAGCACTGGCCAAATCTAATCTGAGCCACAGGCTTCCACTACACTATGTGAGCAAAATTCAGCAGAACCGGCCATACTGCCATGGAGAATGGCCAGGTTAATTACTTGGCCACACGCTGGTGCATCGGGACCATTCTGGGAATGCTTTGCCCTAAAACAGAGAGGCCCAAGTATTAAAAATCACAGAAGGTCAGTGAGCATCATGGACAGAGCAGTGACCAGAGATGGAAATTCCTATTTCCTATTTCGATAGTTTTGGGATGTGTGTCCTCTCTGAATCTCATGTTGAAATGTGACCCCCAATCTTGGAGGTGTGGCCTAGTGGGAGGTGTTTAGGTCATGAGGGTGGATCCCTCAAGAATGGCTTACTGCCCTTCTCTGTGGTAATGAGTGAGTTCTCACTATTTTAGTTGACACAAGAGTTTGTTGTTTAAAAGAGCCTGGCATCTCTCTTGCTCCCTCTATTGTCATGTGATGGCACCTGCTCCCCGTTTCCCTTCCATCATGATTGAAAGCTTCCTGAGGCCCTCATCAGCAGCAGACACCAGCACAATGCTTCTTGTACAGACTGCAGATCTGTGAGCCAAATAAACAGATATTCTTCCTTTATAGCAATGCAAAATGGACCATTTCAGAGGGCAAAGTGTCTTACTTGAGAGATCAATTATAGGCTAAATTATTACAAAATTCCCTCCCTTCAAGAAATTCACTCTAAATACAAATTATTGGTTACCACTCATTGATGTGAATCAAAATCAGAAGGAGAAAAAAAATGGGTATTATATTTCTCTTTCCTATAGGTAGGTTTATCAAACTTCTACCCAAAATGTAGGATGAAGTTCCCACAGGACCAGAGCTGCCACGTAAAGACAAAGTTTACCTTATGCAATGGACAGCTCCAGAGCATCCTCGCATCGCAGGCTGTGGTCATACGTGGAATGTCCCAGGGCTTTCCCATTTCCAGATGCTATGGTCACAAAGCACCAGATAAAGCTTTCACAGTGAACAACCAGGCAACACAGTCATGACAGCCTGAGGCTCCACCCTCTGGGTCTCCGATTAACCATCATTCTAGACCAAGTTATTTTTTGCCAGAAGTAGGGACTAAGTACTGTGGATACTGCAGGGTCTCTCCTAGCAGGCCTGTTTCTACTTTTTCTCAAGGACTGCACCTTTCCCCATACCCTTCTCTGGGGACAACCGGTTCAAAATCTGGATGCTTCCTTCCTCATCTAACTAGGATACATTCTTTTTTTTGAGACAGAGTCTCACTCTGTCACCCAGGTTGGAGTGCAGTGGCATGATCTCAGCTCACTGCAACCTCCGCTTCTCAGGTTCAAGCTATCCTCCCACCTCAGCCTCC